TTGTATCCACGAATGATCGTTTTATACTCTCGAAAAAATTGTCGAAGAAAGGGATTTTGGAGAGTTTCATAATTTTTTCGGGGCTATGAAGCTAATTTCGAAACGATCATTCGTGGATAGGAGCATCCTCTTTAGGGTCGTTGAAGAGTGGTTATAGACTCTTCTATAAGACTCTAGAAGATTTGGACGATGGATTAAAAAAGTTTGTTAGAGGTTTTTGGAAAGTTAAGAGGAAAGATTCGACAATTTTTAGGTATGAAACTGTGGGTAGTTTGAGAGGATCGTTCGTGGACAGGAGCATCCTCTTCAGATCGTTGGCTGAAGAGTTAGCTGTGAGATTTGGACGATGGATTAAAAGAGTTTGTTAGAGGTTTTTGGAAAGTTAAGAGGAAAGATTCGACAATTTTTAGGTATGAAACTGTGGGTAGTTTGAGAGGATCGTTCGTGGACAGGAGCATCCTCTTCAGAGGATGAAGAGTTGGCTGTGAGATTTGGATGATGGATTAAAAGTTTGGATTAAATTTTTTGGATGGTATGAAATTATTCGTGGACAGGAGGTCGTTGCTTAGATTCTGAGAATTGGACGATGGATTAAAAGTTTGGAAAATTTGTGTAGAGATTTTGGAAAATTAAGAGGAATATAAGAAATTGTGGATAGTTTGAGACGATCATTCGTGAAGCATCGTCTTCAGATGGATTAAAAGTTTAGAAGGATTCGATAATTTTTTGGATGAAACGATCATTCGTGGACATCCTCTTTGAAATCGTTGGCTGAAGAGTGATTAGATTGTGAGATATGAAACTAGTCTCAAAACGATCATTCGTGCATCTTCTTGGGATCGTTGGCTAAAGATTAAACTGTGAGATTTGGACGATAGATTAAAAGGATTCGACAATTTTTTGGAGGGTGTGAAACGATCATTCGTGGACAAGAGCATTTTGGAGTCGTTGAAGAGTGGCTCATTAATTCCAGATTAAAAATTAGGCTCATGAGATTAAAAATTTGGAAGGTTTCGACAATTCTTGAGTGCGAAACGATCACTCGTGGAGCATCCTTTTGAAACAGTTGTCTGAAGAATAATTAGGCTCTAAGATAGGAATGGATACGATTATATAGATTAAAGGTTCGAGGAGATTGTGCGAAGGTTTTGGGAAGTTGAGAGGAATATAGGAAGGATTCGACAATTTTTGAAAAAGTATGAAACTGTGGGTAGTTTGAGACGATCATTCGTGGACAGTTCAAATCGTTGGCTGAAGAGTGATTAGGATGATCATGAGATTTGGTTTAAAAGTTTGGAAGGATTCGACAATCTTTGAGTGTGAAACCTATTCTTGGGATCATTGTCTAGTGGTTAGGCTCTAATATTTGAACGATAGATTACAAATTTGAAGAATTAACAAATACAAGGAGGACTCGAAAATTTTTGGGTACGAAATTAGTCTCGATTTGGATGAGATGGAAGCATCCTCTTCAAATCGTCACTGAATGATTCAGGCTCTGAGATTCGAATGATGGATTAAAAAAAGTTTGGAAGGATTTGAACATATTCTCTCAACTTCAAATTTGAAAAAGTTGAGATTGAGGATTTGAAAATATAAAGACGTCTCATGTTTTGCGAATAATCATAGGATCTGTCCAATAATCTAAGTTCAAAAATTCGAATAACTTTGATTGGATTAGATTCCGAATTGAAAGCTAATTTTGGAATAATTTTGAAAATTTTTTCTTGATATCCAAAAAGATGCGTGGAAAATTTTGGAAAATTTGGAAAATATATATAATTATAATTGATTGGATTAGATTCCGAATTGAAAGCTAATTTTGGAATAATTTTGAAAATTTTTTCTTGATATCCACAAAGATGCGTGGAAAATTTTGGAAAATTTGGAAAATATATATAATTATAATTGGATTAGATTCCGAATTGAAAGCTAATTTTGGAATAATTTTGGAAATTTTTTCTTGATATCCACAAAGATGCGTGGAAAATTTTGGAAAATTAAAAAATCGATATCCGAATATACAAGGAAGAATCCAAAAATATTTGGAGAGGGGCTATGTGGATCGATCGGATTCCAAAAAGAACGAATAATAGTCGCGAAACATCCAAAGGATTCCCGGAATTTTTCCACCGATTCCGAGATTCAATGAATTAAGATCCGATCTCAAGAGAAATTCTTCACCCCTTCACGCGCGACCCGACATTTTTCTAACCAACTCGAAAGTGTGAAAAAAAAACAAACAAAAACGCCTTCAACAATTCCACCTTCCAACTTCTCCAAGTCGAATCATCTCCCTCAAAAGGTATCCAATTTTCATTGATAAAACGCCCCCCTCCACCGATATTCCCTCCACCCCCGCCGACAATCCTTCTCCTTTTAACCTTTTAAGAAGAAAAGGAAGAGGAAGAAAAATCGGAGATACACGCGTTGCACACCGATCCGTATTCCACGAGGGCCACCTGTCAAAACACCATATATACCGTTACACCGATGGACGAGGAGGGAGATGCAGGTACAACGTTCTCAATCGAGGCAACGTTTTCAAACGAGAAGATTACATCCCTCTCCTTTTCTCTTTCTCGAGCAATGGGATTCTCGCATTTCGGGTAGAGATTCCCCTCCGTGTCAGAGGGTCATCGGCCTCCTCTCCCCTCAGGCCCCGACAGAAGAGTGAAAAAGAGGGGAGGGGAGGGGAGAAGTCGTAAAGAAGTCGCGGAGATCCCGGCCAGCCGCTTGCCCAGCGACGGATAGAGATTCGATTCCGATTAGAGGGAGGGGGGAAGGTTTGGTTTTTTAGCGGAGCACGGGTTAACAGAGGGCCGAGTATGATCCATGCGCGTCGGCGAGAATCAGGGATATCGCGTTCCAGGGACCGGAGATCCGACCGGCTGTATCGAGTTTCGAGTCGCGGCCTCCTCGTCCACTTTTTCGCCCCCTTTCCTTTCCGCCCTGCCCATCGCTCCTTCTCTCTCTCTCTCTCTTTCTCGAGAGATACTCCTCCGCTTACTTTTTTCACGCTTGGCAGGCGACGGTGAACCGAGAACTATCGGCGTTAGTTACTTAGACCGTACGCGCTATCGCTTCTTCCCTAAAAGAGAATCCATTTGTGCAGATCAATCATTTGTGTGTGTGTGTGTGTGTATATATATAATGGAATATATATGGTATGGAATATATATATAAATATATATAAATATATATATGGAATATATATGGTAATGGAATTATAGAATGTCTTGTACAATGCATATTGTTTCTCGATGAAAATTAAAACCCTTAGTCGAGCCACTTACTCTTCTTCGCAGCTTCTAAAATTATTTAAAATGCTTGTTTTTCTTCTTTCAGTACTTACTTTGTGTAATATACTTACACAATATTTTATTGAGTTGTTGGTAAAGAAAGAAGAAATTAAAGAAAAGGGTAAATTAAATAGGAAGGCATCTTTTGCAGACGGAAAAGTAGAGTTTTATAAGAAGAACGAGGGGAAATCAAGTTATGAAAATATATGTAATATGCAAAGAGATCGGTAAGATTAACGAAACGTTCTGAAAGGATAATAATAACTGTATCGATAAAATGTTTCTGAGAGAAAACGCGAAAAGTCGTTTGCCAAAGGTGTCGATATAAGGAGAAAGAGAGAGAGAAAGAGAGGGGTTTTGGAGGTCGCGTGCTCGAAAGTGGATAATCGAGGCTCGATTGTCGTCTGAGCCTGAGGTTAGTTTTCAATCGCCTTCCAACTTCCGGGGGCGATTTCTTCGAGAAATTGCGCGGTATATTTAATTATTGGCTGCGCTTCGAAACGAAACCAATTCCAGCTCTCCAGAATCGTTTTGGATCGTCGATGAGGGATTCGAAGGTGAAATGTGAAATGAATCGAGGACCGAGAAAATTCGAAAAATGGAATCGGGATAATTTTATTAATTGGAATATTCGTTGTTGAGGAAAATAATGGAGGATGGATTCAGATTGCAATCGATTGAAAAGAATCCGAAGTGATGCTTCGGAAAAGATGGACGAGATTAAGAATTTGGAAAAAATTTCGAGAAGGGTGGAGGTTAAAATTTCCAACCAATTTCTCTTCTTTGTTTTCTCGTCGCCAGGGGCCAGGGGTCGGGTCTTCGGACAAGACGACATAATTAAACATCCGCGCAGTAATTAACGAGCTAGGCCGAGAAGAGGACGCCATTAACGACCGTTGAACCGAGTCACGAGGGGCACGCGGGAAAAACCAGTCGACGCGCATTCTAACTATCCCCTGGCCAGTTTAATCGTTGGCCGGATCGTTGGAGGGGTGGAAATACCGCGGAGAAACCCTCCCTCTTCTCTAGAGAAAAAGAAAATTTGAGAAGAGTGCAAAGAGAAGAGTGGAACGAATGCTTTTATTCTTATCGATCGATACGTCTTCTTCTCTCCTCCTCTTCTTTTCTTTTCTTTTTTTTATCAGAGAAGACAGAAGGAATCGGCGAGGGAGAAGATAAGATACGGGGTCACGCAACGTATTTGAGTAAACGTGAACCGTATCTTATCGAACATCCTGTACAATCGCCCGAGACAAAATCCAAACCGCGCCTTTTCAATCGTAAGAAAGTTCTTTTTTCTAAACCGAAAGTACAAATTATTCGTGTCCACTTGGATTATCAATAAAAAAAAAACAAAAAAAGGAACAAAACTCGTTAAATATTCGTTATTTTATAATAAAAATAAACATCGATTCCACTTCTCGTGATTAAATTCTTTCGAGAAAGAAAATCTTTGAGAATTAAAAAAAAAAAATCGCGAGCCTATCTAAAAATTTAAACCATTTAAACCAACTTTGTCATCGCGTTGATGAAATCCAATTTTGAAATCAACTTTACAACTTTACTTTTCATAAAACTCTCTCGTTCTTTCTCCAAATTTATTCCAAATTTCGCATAACCCCCCCTATAAGAGAACAATGATGACACGAGACGACGATCGAGAGAAATCTCCAAAAAAACATTCCAACTACTACTTACTGTGGGCATAGTGAGCGGCTGCTGCTGCGGGGTGATGGGCGGTCGGTCCGGCGTGAGGGTAGTAACCCCTGTAATCGGTCGGATTGGCGACGACTCCCGCGACTCCCGCACCCCCCGAGGGCGGCTCCAGCGTGGATCTAGGGGGCTCGTACCACCTGGCCGCGCTCGACTCGCTGCTCATGTCCATCCTGTCCAGGAGGCCCTTGTCGCGTCCTTGCGTCGCGAGGCGGGATGATGATGACGATGACGACGATGATGACGATGAGGGGGGAGGAGAGGGGGGGGGAGGGCGAGGGTGGCTGTGGGTGGGCGATCCTCCTCCGTCCGCTTGCGCTGCTCCTCCGTCCCGAGGGGGAGGTGGTGGATGGTGGAGGACGGGGGGAGAAAGGGGGCGCCGAGAAACAGGGGGATAGAAGGGGGAGGAGGGGGGAGGAAGGGAGGAGGGAGGAGGGGAGGATTAGGAACGGTGCCAGAAACGGTGCCTCTCTGCCGGAAGCGTGGTCCTAGTGAGGGGGCCTCTCCTCCGAGGGGAGATCATAGGTGATTCCCTGCTCGTTCGTTTCACGATCACGAAGGATAATTGCTGTCTGTGTTGGGCCCCGCCTTCTGTAACAAGAGGAGACAGAGAAAAAAAAAAAAAGAAAGGGATGGTAAATAGAAAATCGTTGCAGTTTCAGTTGTTTTTTTTTTTTTTTTTTTGGGAAAAGAAAAAAATCGTCTCGATACGTCTCGAGACGGGGGGAGGAGCAAGGAAATTCGAGAAGGCGCGAAAACTCCGGGTTGCGGGAGCTCGACTCGTTTATCTCGTTGGACACGGATGAGCGGAGGATGATTATTTTCTTTTTGCCGCAGAAACGGGTCGAATCAAAAGCTTACCAGAAGGGAAGGAAGGATTCCCATTTCACGAGACGGAGAAGAGGGGGTGGAAAATTTTTTTGCAAATCCGAAGCTTTCGAAATCGATCGAGCAGATCCTTCCCTCCCCTCCAGATTCTTTTCCTCTTCGAAATTTTTCCTCTTTTTTTCCCGCGGCTCACTTTTCCGACAGCGGAGTCGGAATCCGTTTCGAACGATTTCGATGGTTGTTCCTTCCTTCTTCCAGCCGGTGGTCGATCGATCGATAAACAGGAGGGAAGAGAAACCGAGAAAGAAACTCACTCGCGTAACGCGATCACCGATAACCGATCTCCGTGGCGAGAGATCTAGCTAGTTAATTGGAGAAGCTCCGGATCCGCGAGCTTTCGAAACGACACCGATCCCCAGCCCGCTCGGCGATCAAGTGGCACGAAATCGTTTTATCGATCGCGGCGCACGGCCGATGATCAAGGTCATCGGTGACGCAACCGAAGGGACCCCTCTCGATCGGCCGATACCGATACGGGAACGAGAACAAATGGAAAAATGGCCGAACGAGCAGTGGAGAGGGGTGGGAGAGCCCCCCTTGTTGGAAAATTTTCCAAGCGGAGTTACTTCCTCCCCTCCCTCCCCTCCTTTCACGAGCGATTTTCAATCTGAAAATTTATTATTTCCAATTGGAATAATTGAATCTTTCTTTGAAGAAAGAATGGACGAAGAAAGAAATTTTCTGTAAGGATTCGTCGAATCTGGACAGAATCCTTGAGAGAGAGAGAGAGAGAGAGAGAGAGAGAGAGATACGTGGTGCAGTTGGTGACAGAGGCCGAGCACTTCCAAAATTATAAACGTACGTTCGGGGCAAATAAAATACTCGAGAACGAGATCCGATAAGATTAAACGCGAAAAGCCTCGAGATAAGATTAAACATCGGCCGTTGCCGTCTCTTAATTTTTCATTTATAGGATTTTCGTTCCTTATATTCGCGGGAACGATACGTATAATTTTTCTGATCGATGCGTGGATCATGTTTTTGCGGCAAGAAATGAAGATTAGTCGTAACTACTACTACTACCGACTACCGCTCGACGAGAGAATGAAAAAGAATGAAGACCCTACTTCTATACGTTCAATTATACATTAAATCATCGACTCCGTTATTTGAGTTATCGAGCTAACGTCCGGAATACGATTAGAGAATACGAGCGAGGAATATCAATCAAATTGCGCTGGACGAGCTGTCGTTTACTTTTTTTTTTTTTTCTTTTCAATCGATAGTTTTTTTTCCCCCCCCTTTTCCCCTTTAGAATTAAGAAGGCAATCTAAAATCAATTTATACATTATACGGTAGTAAAGTGTCGTTTAATCCTTCGGCCAAGTTGTTCCATGAATGTTAACTATCCTTTTTTAATCTTCTTCGTTATTCGTTATTCGCGAGCTGTTACAAATGATCTATATAATTCTATTTCTTTTTTTTATTTTTTATTTACAAATAAAAATGAATCTGTCAGTTTGACACTTTGAGGAAGGAAGGAAGAATCGACGATCGATTTATTTTTCGTTTCTAAAAATGTGTCGTAAAAATGGATAACCTATAGATCGATGGAAAGACGATCAAGATATCGGCACCAATATTATTTTCAATCGATCACTTCTCCGCATCGTGGGCCTGCACGAGTTTAGATTAACGAGATAAGCGATCTCGAAGATTGATAACCGAAAACTGACTTTTTGTTAAAAGAAGATTATAAAAACAATAACCTAACCGAACTAACGCCGATCAATTCCAAAATTATTTTCACCGCTAAGTTCTAAAAATAGAATTATCTATTTAAAATTTAAATAGATACTACGAATCTACGAATGAAAATTCAACTCTATTATAAAAATTGAATTATCGTTAACGTTCAATAGCCTGTTCATAGTTCATAGTCTGCATACCTACTCCGTTAAAGTAATCACCAAAAATAGATAGTTATTTAGTGGTTTCGAGCAACCACGATATTTCATCGAATCGCGAAAGGATGCGAGGAGACGGACCTTATCTCGACTTATCGACCGAACAGATAAGATTTCGCCTCCGAAAAACATTCAACCCAAATCCCCTGGTTAACTTCTATCCAAGAAACACGTTCCCGCGTCCTCGCCCCCCCCCCTCCGTCGCAAATTTTCGTTTCGAGATTTATCGCGAGAAGTTTTGTTGTTACGTCATTGAGGCGAAAAAAACATTTCCATCGAGACGAGCCGACCGATCACGTATCGCATCGACTAATCTTATCGAGATTCGAGTTAATCTTGTTCCGTCCAAAAACGGCCGTCCGTTTCACGCGTGCGAGCAAATCACCACCGATGACACACGCGTCGATGACACGAGCAACACGGTGGACAATCTCGAAATTCGGACAAAGTCCAGCCAACGTTTCCATGTGAAAGAAATATATTTACGCGATAAACATCCCTAGAGAAAATTAAGAGAGACATCTATACTCTCATCTAGTGACAAATGAATCCAGGTCCCTAAATGTAACCTCTAACGAGTTGGTTAATGCAATTGTCGTTCCTAAGAATAGCGCGTGGTGATTGTCATAACGTTCTGTGACGAATAATTCAGAAGATTTAGATATAAACTACGATGGTTGTTAATTAAAGGTTAAGTGCTATTGTAATCGCAGGATTAGGAATATTGAGAAAGACGCGTAATTGTAAGTCGTTACGTTTCGTGCAATTTTATTGATCTGAACATAACCTCTGAGTGTTTTATCGAAGATGAATCGAAGAATAAAGGCATCAATTAAGAAAATCTCTGAGGAATGTGTAGATGATTGGTGGAACAATATAAAGAACAAAATGAGAGAATAATATCGAAAGTATCGGAAAAGGATATTCAAAGACGCGTACGGTTTCTACCCGTCGGATTCAACTCGATCGAGCTCGTATCGAAATAAATTCGCGATAACCAGAAGAAAATCTTGTGAACGAAGAAGAATGAAAGAGCGATTTCGAAGAAAGTACTTCTGAAAACGTAAGTTATACATGCAATGTCCAACTTATTAACTCGTTAATCGTTACGATTTTGCTTTATGCGAATGAATATATTTTCGTAATAAATTGAAACAGAAATAACAGCGATCGATAAAAAGGATTCTACACTATCGGTTGTTTTGTAAAGGATTCGATCTATAATAATTTATATTTAGAAAGAATCGGATTTATGTCGGAACGGGAAATACCAGATTCGAAGATTTCCAATGAAAAAAAATACGCGTAAATTATTATATATCCATTATTACCAAGAATTTTTATATTTTGAAAATCTTATTCGTGATCTAGCTGTACCGATAATTTTATTGTATTAGTAATGGAAAACAATGACGTTATATCCTTCTCAACGACGATTAATCTATCGATGACAAGATCAATTTTCCACGTTTAAACGCGAAATTTTTATCTAATCGCGAATAAAACCGAAAAAACGAAAATAGAAACGTTCCACGAACTTTATCCGTCCATAACCTCTCTTTCTCCGTCAAAGAAAAAACACATTCACGAACTATTAACTCTCCCCGATGAAATTCACTGCTGGGTCGAAAAGAAATCGACAATAATGGGGTAATTACGGAAAAATTCTATTAGAGAATCGTCGGACGGCCATGTAAGAGGAGGCACGGCACCGTTTCGCCGACGAAAAGAATATTTATCGCGAAGAAACGAGCGAGTCGGTTTCAATGCATCGTTGCGCTAATAAGCGGAGGCATTTCGCGGCTAATAAATGAAAACAGAAACCGGCGGCCGTTTATTATACTTGCAAATTACCAATTATAGGCCGCGCAAACTGCCACCCGATATTCTCTCCCTTCTACGAGGGGAACACCCGCCGATTTTCCTCCACCAAACCCATCGAGTTTCTCGTTCTCTTTCAGACTACTGACTGACTCGTCCTACCACTCTTAACTTCTCGCTTCATTTTGCGCTGAGTAATTGAATTTCTTTTTTTTTTTTCAACGTTCCACAGTTTTATATATATATACATATATATATTTTAAGTCGTAATAATTAATGGATTAACTTAATGCGCGTGTTCGCGACTCGCGTAATGGATAAAATTTGAGAAAATCGTAAACAAACCGTACGTATTATTCCATATGATGAAACTACGTTTAGTGGGAAAAAGAAAAAAAAAAAACAATTTCGCAAAAATATATAAATATCCTGTTTCTTTTTAAAATACGTAATATATGGATTAACTCTGAATTAATTTTCGAGATATTTATCAAGTGATTGTTACGCGATACTTTTATTGAATTAAAAGTATCACGGTAATGTATAAATGTATTTCTCTCTTTTTTTTTCTTTTTTCTTTTACATACAAACTATACGGAAGTAGCAAATTGTCAGATTGATCGAACTCTATGGATTTAATCGTTTCACGATCGAATCGTTCCGTGTACGATACTTTACTATTCGATATAAAAAAAAATGTATTTCTCACCGTGGAAACACAATTCTTTTCAATACTCCAAAAAAATCATTACAATTCATAAGAGGGTCCCTAATTATCGTTCATTGATTAAACTCGTATAGTTACCATATGTTTCTAAATACACATCGCGCCTGAACATAAACTATCAACCATTCCAATTCCGTTCAATCCTCTAATTCGAGCAATTCCTAATTTCGAAAAAGAGATATTTTTATCATCAAGATATGCAAGATTCGAATCCCTCGAAAGAGAGAGAGAGAAAAAAACCTATTATCCGCGCGCGTCGAACCATTGTTAAACAAACAAACATACCTCGACACACGTGAAAAATCGTAATCGAAAAACAATATAACCCCCGATATCCACCCCCCCATCCCCAAAAGGGAGAGCCACGCAACACTTTCAGCCATTCCGAATCGTCCGGCTGACGTCACCGACGTCGATCGAACGACGTCCTTGGTCGAGTAATCGATGGAAAAAGAGCTTACACCTTAGGCCAGACCTTAGACACGGCAATTTTTAGGCCTCGTAAAGCCTCGTCTCCCCAGCGCGTACCTGACACTCCTCGGGCAACACGTCAATTTCGAGTTACGCGTCAATGGGTTTTTCACCACGGTAGTCGTGCAAGAACAAAGGAAAATCCTCGGGGGCCCCGGAGGAAAACCCCCTGGCCAGCGGATAATATAGCCCCTGTGAATACCTGGACCGTCGGCGCCCGTCGATCTACTGCGCCTGTTTCACCGCGTCTCCGCTGTTTTCACGGAGGAGAACGAACCGTTATGCAACCAAGCGTAACCAACTTGTATTATTTCGCCCGTCGGGTTTCTAATTTCCCATGGAATAATTCCCCCTCCCTCCCCCCCCCTGGTAATCCGATCGATCGGAAAAACTCGACTCTCTCGAGGGATTCGAAGAAATCGAAAGGATTACGGGCGAGAAATCTTTAAAATCTTCGTCGAGGTTCATCACCATTTTTTTTTTAATTGAGAAATCTCAATTGAATTGTTACAATTGTTGGGTATCGAATATCGAATTTTTGCGAACATCGAAGATGAGAGTGGATAAGTGAGACAGGTGAGAATGAGCATCGGGGTGAAAGAGTAAACGTCGTGATGTAAGTTTTTGTCGATCGAGAGTTGGCGTTCGAAATGTTAATCATTTGTATAGATGGGTTTTTTTTTTGGAATTTTTGTAAAAAAAAAGGTACGAAATATTCCATTGTGCGAGATCGTATTACAAGATTAAGAGTCGATCTTATTGGGAGGGGTGGAAGCGTGGAAGATAAACGTGGTGGAGAGAAGGAAGATCGGTGACCGTCGGCGCCATCTTTCCGTCCCACTCCACGAAAAGCGAACGACGAATTTCTTCGACCTCTGAATAACGAGTCAACGACCTTTCCCAATAAAAAGGAACGGATTTTGGTTCGTGAGATCCGAGACACCTGATTCTAAATTTCCATTCCATTCTCTAACGCGAAGAAATAGCTATCTCGTATGTCCAATAGAGAGAGAGAGAGAGAGAGAGAGAGAAAGAGAGAGAGAAAGAAAGAAAAAGTTACGAATCCAAGTTTTCCTACCTAAAAGACTAAGCTCGATAATCCTAACGAAACACTTCACTCTCTACGAGAATCGGATTATCTTAATCTCACGATTCGATCTTAAAAAATCCAATTACGAGTGGATCTGTGAACGAAATTTCTACTCGAACTTCAAAATATCACGTTGCTTCGTATTTCAAAATTTCACTTCTTCAACCGTCTCGAAAAAGTCTGTTCGAGGGGGGAATTTTTACATCACACTCGCGAACGAATGAATAACACTGCGCAAATAGTTTTAACGCGGCGAGTATATAAATATCGTTTAACAGCGGTCGTTCGTAATCGTAACGATCCAAAACACGCTTACCTTAAACTGTTATCAATCCCGATAAGTCGCCGCGCGACCTCTCGTCGCTCGAGGGCGAGTTTTCAAATATTCTTTCAATCACTAAGTTAGCACCAAGAAGACACTGCACTGTACACACACACAGCACATGGTGGCGTTCGGATGGTACCCGCGTGTAGTAAGGTGTAATAAGTAGCTGGGCCCGTGTCTATCGCGCGCGTGGTACACCCGTGTCCTCTCTTGTCCGCGTGTCCGACAGCAAACAGAGTCCGAGAGGCGTTGGACGTACGCGGCGAAAAAAAAAAAAAAAAAAAAGGAACGGAAGAACGAGCGGAAAAGCGTGGCCGGGAAAATTAGGCGAGAACTCTCTCTCTTTTCTTCGCTCGAAGAAACCGTCGAGATGGTTTAAAAGGTTTCGCGTGTCTCCGCGTTCCCCTGCTTTCCTTCTGGCCGTCTGTTTTTCTCTCGGTCGGCTGGTTGATCCGCGTCGAGGGTGGGGAGACGAAGAGGGAGAGAGAGAGAGAAAGAGAGAGAAAGATTTTTGGAAACACGCGCGTGCGCGCACGTAAACTCGAGTCGATGCGACTGTCGTGGCACCCGGCGCGGAACTAAGGCGAACGAAAACACCGGCCTCGACGTTCCCCTCGCGTTCACCGGCGCTCGTCAACGCTCGGCAAACATCGCCGCGCCTCGGCGCCGCTCGGCCACGCCCACCAACACCGGGACCAACCTACTAGCGGGCGTTTACTCGCACCCCACCACCCAACGAGACGAGAACGACCCAGCCGCGTTTCGTGTTGCTTCTCCTGTCAACACTGGCCCTCTCCCTTCTTTCTTACCGAACCCTAGCGACGCTCCTTTTTCCGCGATGCCGAGCCCCTTGTTTTTCGCTCCGAGATTTCTCTCTCTTCTCTCTCTCTCTCTCTCTCTCTCTCTCTACTTTTTAGGGCTGCTTCTTTATACTCGAATCGAGCGTGAAAAGAGAATTCGGGGATTTCGGGTTAATGCGTTCGACAAACTCGCGATTAGAGTTCATGATTCGGGCTCGCCGCTCGTCGTTTATTTATTAACACGTTCGCGGTGAATACGCGGCTTTTATTCGAGTTGCATTGCTCGGCCATTTCTCGCGCGTATATCGTCCGTCCCCACTTCCAAATGGGGATGAAATTTGATCCTTAAACTCCGCGTAGCGTGTTGTAATGCGACACTTTGCATCGAGGCATACGTTTCTTCTAAACGCTTCGATTTTCAATCCTTCTTCGTCCTCGTTAATTCCTCTTTTCTCTCTCTCTCTCTCTTTCTGTCTCTCTCGCTAAGATCAAATTTCGCCGAAGCTTTCGAACTCGGTGTGAATTTAATTATTTGACGAATAAAAATAACGGAAAATTTTTCCACCTATCGAAAAATATTTCCCTCTATGTAAAAGCATCACCCGTCCATCCGGACTCGTTATCATCCGTACACGGATAGACAGAAATGAGTTTCCACTTGAGGATCGATGGGATCGAACGAGAGGCCGGAGTTAAACGGAGCAAATTTTTGAGTCAGATTACGGCTCGATAGCGTTCGTTGAAAGCGTTCTATCGTGGCGGTGATCTTCGCGCGCGGGGCACGCGCCGTGCCCTCCCGTTTTCCTCGATCCGATCTAAATTTGGGTCGACCGATCGCGGAAGCCATCTCTTTCATTGCTACGCGTACACATAGACGCACACCGCACTCACACACACGTACCGCGTACGTGTACACCTGCTGCGTGGAGGGCACGCGCTCGCACACAATCGCAACGCAGTTGAACGATGAAATCAGCGCACTGATCCGACGGAATTATTCAACACCTCCCTGGCTAGCGGCGGGATCTAGATAATATTCGCTCGTTCGATAAGCTCCATTTCACCGGGCTGGGGAGGGGGACATTTTTACTCGGACAGAATCTTAGAATCGAGGAAGTTGAACCGTTGTGAATCGACTGCACCCTAATTCCACTCTTCTATTTTTTTTTTTTTTTTCGACCAAAATTTCTCAACTCAAAAATATAATTTTTTTCTCTATTATTCTTTTAACACTTTACGAACCCCATCGATCTAAACATCGTTTCAATACATTAATGTCAATTATTATAGAAAAACGACGAACATTCGGAATACAATATTACACGTTTTAACTAACGAGATTGCAAGCTTAAGATGCATATACATATTATCTCATATACTGTCGACGATCCTGTCCTCTTGTTTGAAATATGGACGGGACGCATCGATATTGTCTGTCCAACCAAAAGTTGATAATTTTAAATACGGGGGGAGGATCTTTGGCGAAGAATCGTGCCAAAAGCATCAGCGTTGAGGACGCGTGGCGGATGAGCCACGTATATAATATTTACAACGGGCAAATATTTATAAATTTCCCCCCTTCCCCCCCCCCCNCCCCCGCGTCCCATTGCAAAACACTTTCCGCGTTACGTTAGACGCGGCGTTTATCGGGGATCTACGCAAATTTGTCGTGCAAATATCCCGAGTCGCCCGGGGTTATTAATGTATTCAAAGCAGGCCTGGTGGGTAGCCGTGGTGGTGGCGCACGGTCTGATGGAACGATTTGGCAGCGTCGGGCCGGCAGTATCTGCCAATCGGTGGTGAGAACTGCATTAAATTCGCCCGGCAACATTGAATTTTCCATCAGCCGCCTGTTCCGCCATTCCTGGATAATTGCAATTTGGTTCCGTCCCTCCTCGTCGAGGAAATTTTACGAATTTTCCGAATTAAAAATTTCAGAAATATTCCAAGATCGATTTCCAAGATCTCGAGTCGAGGGATCGAAGTTAAATTTAATAAAATTTCCACGACACGCTCGCGCATCGAACAAAGAATTTGAAATGTCGAAAGATTGAAGAAAGTGAAGTGAAGAGGGAAATAAAATCAAGAATCGTATCGATGGGGCGGCGGGAATGAGATCACAGAGAGATCGGTCGGCCACGCATCCAACAACGCGTGCACGCGTTCCCGATCTTGATCCTGGCCCTCCTCCTATCTAGATGAGATTAAGATACACCACGAAACCCCACCTCCGAAATCCAAAGAGCAACCAGAGTGTGCACCGAGCGGCGTTACAAGTTGGCCCGGGCCGTCGATCCGATAGCGCCACTACTTTTCCGCCATTATCTTCGATCCGCCTCCCCGAACGACCGAGCGAGGATATATCGAGGAAAGCAAGGATCGATTCCTCGCGATCGATTCCGACGATTCCGTTTCAAAGGGATCGATATCGACGAATTCGAAGGACGAATTCTCCATCGAAAAGCGATTTTTCCATGAGCGAGAGACAAAGGCAGAGAGAGAGAGAGAGAGAGAGAGANGGAGGGAGGGAGGGGGGAAGATGTGGCCGAGGAAGGGTTCCCCGGTCGGGCCGTGTCCGCCGCGGTTCGATCCTTCCCGTGGCGGGAAGGACGCGTGTCTCTCGCTTTCACGGCGCTTGGAGTGGAGGGGAAGGGGGAGGTAGGAGCGCGATGGGGGCACGGTGGTGGGGGTAGAAGGGACGTGGACGGGTTGGCGGCGTTGCCGGGTCGCCGGGTGGCTGGGTGAGTACCGACGAGGAGAGTACAACCGAACAATCTGTAGAAGCTTGTTCGGGACGAGAGAAGTCCGTAGATCAGCCAATCAGATAGGCATGCCCCCCCTCTCGCCCATTGTCACAAAATGGCGGCCCTAAATCAGCCTGACTCCGCCTATCGCGGCCCCCACCCTCCGGCGCCTCTAGCGCCGCGTCATGAAAAACTCCGCCTATCGATTCATTTTTACCGCTCTTGTTTCCCCTCTCTCCGACCCACCTCCCTTCCCTCCCTCCCTCCCTCCCTCCTTTGTCCCTCTCTTGTAGTACTCGTCTCGAGAGCACTTCGCTGGATCTCTCCTCCTAACACAGGGAGGGGGTAGGGGGAGGAGAGGCTATGCATCTCGAATTTCTCTACTGCTATATACCATCTTCTTCGAAAAATCGATGCCCAAGGGTTAATGGTAAAAGAGTTCCCGTAGGTTCGTGTAGCTGTAGAGGATAATCGGGATGAATCATTCGGGACAAGTAACGGTTGGTCCACGTTGTTACATACGTATACGCGTTTTCACTTTCTATTCTCTAAATTGCTTCACCCCTTTCCCTCCTCTGTTAATTACCTTAAAGCCCAAAGCTTCGCCTTGCCTATTTCCGATTTTCCAAAGCGAGGCCGGCTACCGCTCTCTCTACTCAACCGCTCCGTTATTCGTCCCACGTACCACCTTCATCCGGAATAATAAATCGGCGTCGATATCTCGGCTCCCGGAAGACTCACGTACCCCTTCTCCTCCCCCTCCTCCCGGCGTGATCTACGACCATTCTTCCAACTTTATCCCGAGGCGAGGCGGAATAAAAATCGTGGAAATTGCGAGCACGAGATCGATGATGATAATATCTACGCGTAACAGGCGAGATCGAAGCGTGTTTAAGATTCGATCACGAAATACCTTCGCACATCAAAAGTAAATGACTTAAAAATTATTATTCCCTATCATATACGTATTATAACCGAGATCCATTTTATTTTTTTAAAGTAATCGTAACATTCGTTGGATCCCAACGAACATATATAATCTCTCGAATCGCATCCTTTACGATATCCCATCGTTTCCACGCTTCTTCTACCTTTTGTTATTGGTAACGATCGAAGAAGCCTTCGCATTCACCCGTTTCGTTCACGAACGAAATAATATCGGAAATACGAATATAAATTTTCTGATAAATGTTATCGATCCGCCGATAATTTTCTGTCTCTGTACGCGACCTTAAGGTTGATCACTCGTTCACCACCCATTTATCGCGGCTACTTGCACTTTCACCGGCCGTTGGTTGTTCCAACCCACCCCCCGTGTTTATCCAGATTAGCGAGGCCGGGAATAAGCGGGGCGCGAAATAATCCCTCCCTCCCCCCCTCGGTCGGTCGGTCGGACCTCATTATCGTTAAATGTGTTCCGAAACTCATCCGGGGCGGGGAATAAAGCTCGATCGGAATTATTTGTCGGGCCGCGAGAGTTCGTTTTCGGTCTGGTTCGCGGGCCACGATTAAATCAGGCGGCTCTCTAACGATCACGCTCTATTGACTGCTGTTGCTCCTGCAATCATTATATACCGATGCGCTTGGAATAATTTCGTCGATTCGAACGAGACGAAATTTACTCGAAAATTGTGTATATCAGCTCTCTGTGTGGCTAATTGGGTCTTTTGATCTCGTTGGGATTGGGATTTCGTCGAATTTCGTTTTTTGGGGCGATTTCTTTTTTTTTTTTTTTTTTTTTTNTTTTTTTTTTTTCTTTTAGGAAAGGCGGATAATTTATAATTTTCGTTTCGTAATTGCAAGAGAGTTTAAAATGGAATTGTAATTTGCTTGAAAATTGGAAAAATAACTATCTACAGGTGGAATTTTTCCAACTTTTAATTTTTTCATTTTTCTGAAATCTTTTGGAAAGTTTATTTTTTTTTTTTTTTTGTAATTGGCTTTTGCAAGTTTGGAAGAGTTTTTGCAAATTGGAGATCTACGCAGATTGCTGGAATTATCGAATG